ATTCCTGACAACCAGAAAATGAAGCTGAGGAAAAAGGAAAGTGGAATAGTAATGCTCTCACTGTCCAAGGCAGGAGCAATACCTAGTTTAGGGAGGGCATTAATAGTGAAAACCTAATCCAGTCTTCACATTTCTTTCAAACACCTAACATTCTATTTTGTGAGGCAATTTAGTAAGCAAAAATATGCTGGGTGGAAATCAGGATCTCGGTGCTATTTGTGCAAATACAGTACACATTTAGATTATTGTGGATCCAAATCCTGTCCCTGTGTAGGGCACCCCAAGAATCAGAACATGTGCCTGAAAGCATCATCCAAGTGCTTCTTGAACTCAGGCAGTCTTGATGATGTGACCACCTCCCTGGGGAGCTTGTTCCAGTGCTCAACCACCCTCTGGGTGAGAAACCTTTACCTGATATCCAACCTAAACCTTCCCTGATTCAGCTTCCTCTCATTTCCCTGACTCCTGTCACTGGTCACAGGAATTAAGAGATCAGTACCTGCCCCATCTTTTCCCCTCTTGAGGAAGCCATAGACTGCAATGAGGTCACCTCTCAGCCTTCTGTTCTCCAAGCTGAATAATCCAAATGACCTCAGCCACTCCTCATAAGTCATCATCCCTTCCAGACCCTTCCCCATCCTCATGGATCTCCTTCGGACAGTCTCCAATAGCTTGATGTCCTTTTTATGTTGTGGTGCCAAAATTGTATGCAGTATTCAAGGTGAGGCTGCACTAGAGCAGAGTAGACTGGGACAATCACCTCCCTTGGCCGGCTGGCAATGCTGTGCTTGATGCACCCCAGGACACGGTTGGCCCTCCTGGCTGCCAGGGCACACTGCTGACCTGAAATGTGACCCACAACATTAAAAGACTTAGCTTGGGAAGGGAGCTCACTTTATGGGCTTAAAAAAATTTCATTCAACAATAAAGATACTTTGTTGTACACTCAATTGCTTATTATACATTATGGGAACAACAGAACTTATTTTGGTATTTGTTTGCAGGGTGAAACAAAAAAACACACAATAATCTTGTGCAAAATTCTGGTATCAGTGGCAAAATTCCTGGTCACTTTATTAATTATAAGATTTTATTCCTGACTCTCAACCAGCATGTGCTGTGTGAGAGCAGAGAACACCTCAGAGCTGCCTTCTAAAGCCTCATAAAATGGTCTCTGGTGTTGAAACTCTCTGTGTATAAGCACTGGCCTCTTCCCTGTATTCAGTCTGCTGGACAATTTTCAAACAAAGCGTTGTTTTGCAGGGAGCAGTGCAGAGAGGACAGTCAGCTTTCTAGGAAAATAATCTTTGACTGAGGAAAGAAAAATAAATTGGCCAAAGGATGTCCACTTGAAGTTGCCAAGTGGAAATGTGGTGAGACACTTTAACTGCACTGCAGCTCAGACTTTCTTGAGAAGTGGGGAGGGTTTCCATGATGGATTAAATTAGTTACCTGTATAGTTTGGGAGGGGGTCTTTATACTGGGTGGAAGGAGGGTGACTGCTTCCCCAGCTACTAATGACATAGCAAATGAAGATTTGCTGTCCCCAGGGAGAGAATTAACAGAGTTTGGCACTGGGAGTTTGCATGATTAGCATTTGAGGATGAGCCACCTCTTCAAATCGTGACCCTCTGTGTATGCAAATCTTTCCTCTTTTTTTTTCCTTTTGCAATTTTGTGTTCATGTCAGGTAACTTTCTCTAACATGTTTAATAGAAACACTGGAGTGGCCACAATTTCAGAGTTTGTAATTTCGTTTATCACACAGTTATTTTAAACTCTTTGCTAATTACCTTAAGTTTTTAGCTTTTTCCTCGTGCAGAAACTGCCCCTCTGGGTTTCAAATTACTTTAGTTTCTCTTTTTAGGATATTTTTCTGTTTCATTGTATCCTGTTTATCTATGTACACCAATGAAGCCTTGTGGATTCAAAAATCTTAAGAATGTGAGGATCACACCTTGTGAAAGAGATGTACTGGTGCAGTCTAACAGTTTAGAAGATTTTAGGTCATTATAAGATAATTTTTCTGCTTCAGCCTATATTAATTATTTGCCTTTTCTAGTGGAGATGATCTCAAGCTAGTCCTAGAGAGCCTGAGGCCACCTTTTCTTCTAGGAAAATAAAATAAGGAAGGTAAAGCACTTAGTCTTGTCCCATGATATGGAAATTATTTACATGACAGTAGGAACTCTCTGCAAGGCCTTTTCACCAGCCTGCTAATGGAGGAAGGGAGGAAATTAAAAGATGTTGCATGTGCTCCCCTTATTTCTTATTCAGTCATTGTTTTCTCTCTCTCTTTGTGTTTGCCAAAAATTTCATGTGTTCATAGGGTGGTCAAGAGTGACTAGATAACGGAAAGCAAAGCACACTATAAAACACAGCAATGCTTATCTTTTCACTAAGTCTGAAACAACCCTCTGAAACTTTACCAATCAGATGCCTCAGATGATTCCTGACAACCAGAAAATGAAGCTGAGGAAAAAGGAAAGTGGAATAGTAATGCTCTCACTGTCCAAGGCAGGAGCAATACCTAGTTTAGGGAGGGCATTAATAGTGAAAACCTAATCCAGTCTTCACATTTCTTTCAAACACCTAACATTCTATTTTGTGAGGCAATTTAGTAAGCAAAAATATGCTGGGTGGAAATCAGGATCTCGGTGCTATTTGTGCAAATACAGTACACATTTAGATTATTGTGGGACTGCAGCCAGGTCACTTGGGAGCAAGCACGCAAACCTCATGTCCAGCCTCCTGGCAGGGAGCACTCATGCCAGAAGCATGATTAATCCCAGCAAAGGAGGGTGTTTATGGGGTGTCATAGTCCTGGCGAAGCTGCCCCGCATGGATGCACACCAGGCAGCTGTGTTTGGACCCACACGCTGGTTCCATGTGCTCCTCCATTTCCCTGGGCCTGGGCAGGCTCCCAGCATTGACTGTGGCCCTGGCCTCTCCGGCACGCTTCCCAGACACATTTCTGTGCTTGAACCTGCTGTTGTCTCCTCTGTAAGACATCTTTTTGGTACCACTGATGTACCATAGTGATTATAAAGGGTTATTTGTACACTGGCCACATGCTGTTAATTAGCTTAATGTCAAAGATACAAAGCAGAACAAATATCTGTACACAGTGTTGTTCCTCTTGGGACCTGGAGCATTTTCTGCATTTTGGATGGTGTGATAGCAGCTCTGGGTCCCCTCTCCTGTACCCCAGCTTAGCCTTCTCTTCCCAAGTTATAGACTTATCTCTTAACTCCTCCAAGAAACTCCCTTCATTTTTCAGAGCTGAAGTCAAACTATTCCCTGGCTTAAAGGCCATTCCTTCTTAGCATGCCTCTTTCTGACGCTTCTCTGTTTTGTTCTTTTACTGACAATTTGCTTAGACTTTGTTTCTAGGACCTTTTATGAACAAGTGTAAAATAAATCTTCTTTAAGCACCATCCATCTTGCTTTCCTAAGATAAATGGAAGACCACTTGAATGGAAGATAATTTGTGTTACGGGTTCATATTGATCTCTGTTGTATTTCCTCAGCTTTAATCTGGGAGGTACCTCACCCACTCTATATTAGCAAAATCTTGGTTCAATGATATAGCAATTTTATAAAATTTACTATTTTTTGTCCTGTATACTTAAAGAATTTCACAAACTACCCAGCAGTCAGTGCATGAATTACTGTCCTTGTCCCTGATCTGTGGCCAGCCTTTTATTCATCATGTTTGCAAAAGAAAACTTGTAAGTTCAGTGTTAGAAATCACTACTAGCTCACAGTACAGAAAATATTTATGATGTGGTCCACCTTATCCTTTGATAAGTTTATTTCTGACTTTGCCTCTTATTTCATACCTCAGAGAGCATACTCTTTATTTCATAGCCACTCAAGATTTATGAGTTTGGGGTTGTGTTTAAAAGCTGCAAAGGGCTGGGTGGGCAATTTTACCACATTCCATTC